AGCTCTGTAATGAAAAGGATATCAAGATTAGGTACATTACAGGAGTGTTAAAACATCCAAACATGCACACTTATCTTATTCTAGTAGAGATTAGAGGACAGGTCTAATGTTGTGAACAAAATGATCAAGTCAAAGTTATTTTATTTATTTTTATCTTATGTACCACATTTAATTTAATAATTAATCTTAAATTACTAATAACTTTAAAGAAGGCAACAATTTACAATGTGGATAAGGTGACTACTTATCCAAAGTGTGTGTGTGTGTGTGTGTGTGTGTGTGTGTGTGTGTGTGTGTGTGTGTGTGTGTGTGTGTGTGTGTGTGTGTGTGTGTGTGTGTGTGTGTGTGTGTGTGGTGTGTGTGTGTGTGTGTGTGTGTGTGTGTGTGTGTGTGTGTGTGTGTGTGTGTGTGTGTGTGTGTGTGTGTGTGGGTGTGTGGGTGTGTGAACAGCTTGTCTGCCCAAGGTTAAAACATTTGGGACAGCAGTGAGAATGTTATGAGAAACAATTTGTTGCTTAGACTGAACTCGAAAGAAGCTAGACTGGAACATTTTAAATAAATCAAAACACTTGCACCTTAATTAAATACATTTGACATTTAGCTTGAGCTGGGTTCAATACTTTCTTTATGGTATTTAAATTGGGCTCAAGTAGAACCTTTACATGGATTTGGCTTGCAACACAAAGTGATACCGATCTCTGTCTGTTATGATTTGAAAGTCTCATGATTTAAAGTGTAGGGCTGTGAAGGAGAGGCCCTTGGAAAACAACATCTATTTTTTTAACTGTAATTACTTATTGTAAAGATATTGCAACCTTATACTTTCTAAAAAATTGCATTTAACACATTTATTATGCACACAATAAAAACGTCAACAAATATATAGATCCTGGCTTAACCAGCGACCTTTACTCTTTTGTTCATAAGCTCGGTTTCAGAAAACTTGTCAGTAGTTTAACAACTATTATAATTTTAGTAATGTCTATGGAGACCAATTGGTTGATACGAGAAATCATTTGAAGCAGTTTAATAAAGAATGTTAAACTATTTAAAACTGTAATTAAACTTCAACTTATATTAATTATCTGAATCCAGTGGCCAGTTGGAATAGATAATCAACAAAGTTTCCATTTTGCAGCAACAGCGCAAAAGGTTTCAACAATAATTTGTATTATGTCTGAGTCAAGTTCTGTCTTATCAGCTTTGTTTCGGAATGTGTTCAATACATTACGTTTTTTTCATTATTACCATACAATACATAGATTTAAGAATAAATGAAACAAATAATACAATATTGACCTAAAACAGCAGACAGATTTTGCAACCCTGACCTCCTCAGGCAGGGTTTTTTACGACCAGCAGTGATGCCTCTGAGGGTCTCAGGGTGCAGGACGGGGCATAGGGTTTATAAAAGGTCACAAACATATCTTAACATAACAGCAATACAATTTAAAATGTATTCTTAAAATAATATAATCTTATTTTCTTCTTACACCTACAGCGCACACCCTGAACAGTGTGCTTCTTGTTTACATTTCCTCTGCACACTCAGATGCAGGACATAAAAACACTCTTTTGCTATTTATTTTCATTTTGCAGCACATTTATACTACCAGAATTTTGCAAAACACTATATATTATTTATCTTTCTCAAGTCATTTACTTTTGGTGAGTTAACTAAAGCTTAGTTTATTTTACCCTGGCTATGGACTGATTCATTATTAGTTGTTACAAAACATACACAAGACGGCGGTTAGACAAACCAATATAGACCCCCGGATACAAACAATCAGACAAACAAACATGATGAACTCGTAATAAACACCAGTGCGTCAGCAAAGTTCATCCAGCTCAATTTAGTCCGGATTAAAGAGGTTTCAGAGGGGGTAGGGATATGATCTCTCCCCAATGGGGAACCCAGTGGGGCACCTTGACTCGCGCACCCCACCCTTGTATACAAGTCCTAGATCGGTGCCTGAAGACCGTCCAAGAGCAATAACTAGCTTATCCTCTTGCGACCCCACTATCCCTGTTCTAGTGGTGCTATGCCCCCCCGATCAGGAGCACATAGACTTTTTTCTCCTCTACCCTTTCTATCCGAAACTACACAGTTAACTGTAGTCCTACTCGACCAGCCTATACACCTGCCATCATGTTCATCACAACGATGAAACACAGTTTTGTTCTACACTTGCATGCCACTGCCCACCCATGATCAATTAGCCTATAATTTTATGTATGCACCCCGGACCGGCACCAGCTCCTCCAGCAATGTAGGGAGCCTGTCGCATCAGGTAATGCACGCACCTCGCACCTGCCAGCTCGTAGTAAACGGCCACAAGCCACGAGAGTGCTTTTAAACCGTCTCGTTTTTAATAGAGACGGCGGTGGTGTGAGTTAAAGCTATAGACAAAAGCTGTGATTTTCTCCCTCTGAGTTCACTTCACCAGCCCATGCAGATACGGGGAGGTATGTTACACACATTCCCCGGAGCCGCAGCTGGAGCCGTGTTTTTTTTAGAGGCGCTGGGGGTAATATCTCTGGCTGCTTGAGTTAACTGCTAGTGTTGGCTGCTGAAACCCCCGGAATCTCGGCGATTTGTTCATTACAAATCTCTATTTTGATTTCACACAGAAGTTCCACTTTACTGCTGCCCTCATTAAGGTCTTTTTAAACATCTCCGCGTATGCCTGCACGGCACATACGTCCCGAGCAGCACACACAGAGGGAACCAGCCAAGACAGAGTCCCTGGATGATCCCCTGGGGTTACTAGGCCCAAATGTTCATTAACCAAAACGAAACGCAGCCGCTTAGCTTCACAGATAATTTTAGGATACCGTCAATCACAGATTCTGGTAAGGCAATGTCCAAATGTAGATTTGAAATCACACTTACCAGCCTCTGAAGATCTGTTGGTATCCTGCCGACAACGCCAATTTGCGGAGGAAACTTCTGTGTAGTAATGCATGGAGTCACCGACTCAGGAAGGAGACACGGTGAGAGTTGGAGCTTTGATGTCAAACACTGATGGGTTTATTCAGAGTATTCGGCCGGAGGATTCACATCACAAATCAAAGAGTCAGAGGTTCTGACTTCACGGTAGAGTTGCCACGTCAATTCTGAAGAACCTCTCTCTATGCTAGACCTTTTAACTGGTTCACAGAGAGAAATCAACATCTCTGAAGGAGTAGACTAAACACTGAGCCACCTGCGACACTCATGGCCTCAAGGATTTCACATCCTAGAGCCCACAAACACCGATAAAGAAGTGCCTCAGTGTTCCCACAACAATTACCCTTCGTGCCAGTCAAGTTTACCGGTGACAGAGCAAAAGGTTAGATATCTAGAAGAATTATTCCTTAACACAGAAGGCCTTTGTTATTTATTCACATGTTTGCCCACCGATAAAAATACAATACCATGTGGATCTATAGTGGTCTAATAATGACGTAGCAAAGGAGGAAATGAGGTAAGATAATATGCTGAAAGGAGCAACAAGTTCATGCAGACAAAGGGTGTGTGTGTGGGGGGGGGGGGGGGGGGGGGTATATGGGTGGTTAATGGGTGGATGTATGGATGTATGGACGGGTCAAATAAGACATACATTTGACCCAGGAGACAGCTGTCAGTGTCATGTGTGAAGACATAACTGCATACATTGACTTATTATAAGTCACGTAATACGTAAAAAAACATACCAATGTAACCCAAGCCATGATCCTTCCCTTAACCTAACCAAGTCGTTTTTGCTGCAAAAACCTTAGACACGTTATTCTGTTTAAATTCACAATGTTAACCAGGTGCTTAAAACTGTGATTGTTAAGTTTCACTTTTATTTTAGCAACCTGCAGTAGCTGCAGTCTTCCCAATCTGCCTCCTCTGTAGTAACACAACGAAACTGATAACAACTAGTAACGGGTCAAAAACGTGATAACGTTTCATCATGTGCTTCGGACCAGACTGAACAATTATTTTAAACATGGATTAATTGCCATAATATTTGCAACAGTTCTCCTGAGCCCAAGATAGGTATTCCTACCAACTTTTTTGATACCTCGACATTTACTTTAAGGTCGGCATGAGGTTGACATCTATGGTTTCGTAACAACTAGTTGAATGTATTGCCATGAAATTTGGTGCACACATTCATGACCCCTAAAAATACATTTGAATCACTTGCGTTGATATCAGACTTTTCCTAAAGCTCATTCATCCGGCCAACATTTTGATTGGTCCTATACTTTGATCTTTTCCCAAAGACCTCGAAAACTAATGACATTCCCATTGGCCTCGCTCAGCTGTACTGTATGTGTATTACTCATTTAAATACTTGCATGCTAAACTACGATTGCAGACATGGCAAACATAAGCCAAGAGCTGACGTTTTGAGATATGAGCTTCCTTTTACTATAATTCTTAACCTCTGCTCACATGACATCAACTTCTGCCACAAATGTAAAAAGGGAATTATCTTGATTTTAGTACTTAAAGATGTCTGTGTGTTTTTTTATTTCACTTGGTAATGACCCTTACTGTATATAAAGTGTCGACCCAGTGACAGATCAGTCTCCAAATATTCAGATGCTGTTTGTATTTGTTTGGCATAAATGATCTGTTCCTATCCAAATAGTGTATGTCTATTAGTATAAAAAACTATTTTGAAATAATACAATCAATAAAAATGTTTGAAAAACAAATCTCACTTGCAAGTTTTAAATGTACATTACCCTTCTTAAGGTTAGTTTGGCAAAGAGGTTCTAATGTGAGGTCTTATTGTCTGAGGAACATGAAAAGTGTCTCCTTAAATAAATCCAACATAAAGCTGAGGCTATCCATCTAATGACCAGAAATAACAAACATGTTTAAAAAGCAGGTTTGTCTGTGGAGTCCTCCCTTCAGAGGTTTGTTCAGGCCTAGCAGTGTAGACACCAACCCATAATCCTCCTGCAGACACACCTGTAGAGGAGAGTATAAAGTCCCTGGACTGAACTGAGTCAAACATCAAGCTTCAAGGAGTCTCTCCACAGCAGCTCCACAGCCTCCAGACCGACCCTGAAGATGACTCCCTCTGCCAGCCTGCTGCTGCTGCTCCTGCTCGGCCTCTCTCAGGCACTTCCTCTCCAGGAGGAAGGAATTGAAGAAGAAGAAGAAGAAGAAGTAGACGAAGAGGACACTGTCGACATCACCACCAGGATTTTGACCTCCAACAACGCCACAGATGAGATCCTGCTGGAAGGAGACCTGGTGGTTCCCAAAACCAGAAACGCCATGAAGTGCTGGTCCCAGAGCTGCCTGTGGAAGAAAGGCTCCAACGGCTTGGTGACGGTCCCCTTCACCACGAGCAGTCAATTCACCAGCTTGGAGAGACAGAAGATCACCAACGCTATGAATGCCTTCCACAGCAAGACCTGCCTCCGCTTCGTCCCCCGTCGGAACCAGTACGACTACATCAGCATTGAGAACAAGGGCGGATGTTACTCCTCTCTGGGCAGAACAGGAGGCAGACAGGTGCTCTCTCTCAACAGGCGGGGCTGCGTCTACCATGGCACCATCCAGCACGAGATCAACCACGCTCTGGGCTTCAAGCACGAACAGACCAGGAGCGACCGCGACTCACACGTCAGGATCAACTGGCAGAACATCAACCCGCAGATGGCCTACAACTTCAAAAGGCACGACACCAACAACCTGAACACCCCCTACGACTACACCTCCATCATGCACTATGGAAAAACAGCCTTCTCCATCCAGCGGGGGAGGGACTCCATCACCCCCATCCCAAACCCCAACGTCCAGATCGGCCAGAGGAGGGGCTTGTCCCGCTTGGACATCGTGAGGATCAACAAGCTCTACCGTTGCTAATAACAATGCTGATGATAAATGCAAACAAATCGTACTTTTTCTGCTTTGTTTTTCCTGTAATTAATCAAAAAACACTGTGACGTATGGAAACAACATCAAATATTTCACTTTTCTTCAAATGTTCAAACGGCAGATTATATGACCGTCATATCCCTAAATGATCTGGAATAAAAGTAATGCAGAGATTACTGATTGCTGTCTAGTTATTTTCATCATTTGTGTCTTTTAAAAAAAATACACACATATGCACATGAATGCAATGCCGACATGGTGCATGTATTCATCTTATCATTTTCAGTTCACTGTAAAGTCACACAGGAATTGTGTATTTCTGTATTTTTGTATCAGTATTGGATCGTGAGGTGAAAGTTACAATTCTGCAATTAATGTCAAGCTTTATCTTGCACTGAAAAACTATTCTGATCAAAACTGACCAAAAATGAATTGAGGATGAACATCACTGACTGTTAGTCAGCCCCAAGTCCTGCCTCTCATGTATAACCATTATATTTTTACAACCCATTTATAACCATATTATTTGGGCCACAGAGCTCAGCATGAAACAATTTCAACAAAATGAAAGAACCCAGTGATCTTTTTACTTGCAACAAACATATCTTAAATGTTTCATCCAGATGGTTAAAAGAGTATTTCAGGTATCTTGAACGACTTCCAGAACAGCAGTTACGTTTTTTTATAGGACTTCTGGTGTTGTTAATTATGCAAGCAGCCTGCCTGTAGGTATGTTGATGTCAGCTGCCTCATGGATATGGGTTAGAAAGGGTATGCTGCACCTTCTAGTAGGTTCAGAAGGCCTTTGTTATTTATTCACATGTTTGCCCACCGATACAAATACAATACGATGTGGATCTATAGTGGTCTAATAATGACGTAGCAAAGGAGGAAATGAGGTAAGATAATGTGCTGAAAGGAGCAACAAGTCCATGCAGACAAAGGGTGTGTTTGGGGGGGGGGTATATGGGTGGTTAATGGGTGGATGTATGGATGTATGGACGGGTCAAATAAGACATACATTTGACCCAGGAGACAGCTGTCAGTGTCATGTGTGAAGACATAACTGAATACATTGACTTATTATAAGTCACGTAATACGTAAAAAAACATACCAATGTAACCCAAGCCATGATCCTTTCCTTAACCTAACCAAGTCGTTTTTGCTGCAAAAACCTTAGACACGTTATTCTGTTTAAATTCACAATGTTAACCAGGTGCTTAAAACTGTGATTGTTAAGTTTCACTTTTATTTTAGCAACCTGCAGTAGCTGCAGTCTTCCCAATCTGCCTCCTCTGTAGCAACACAACGAAACTGATAACAACTAGTAACGGGTCAAAAACGTGATAACGTTTCATCATGTGCTTCGGACCAGACTGAACAATTATTTTAAACATGGATTAATTGCCATAATATTTGCAACAGTTCTCCTGAGCCCAAGATAGGTATTCCTACCAACTTTTTTGATACCTCGACATTTACTTTAAGGTCGGCATGAGGTTGACATCTATGGTTTCGTAACAACTAGTTGAATGTATTGCCATGAAATTTGGTGCACACATTCATGGCCCCTAACAATACATTTGAATCACTTGCGTTGATATCAGACTTTTCCTAAAGTTCATTCATCCGGCCAACATTTTGATTGGTCCTATACTTTGATCTTTTCCCAAAGACCTCGAAAACTAATGACATTCCCATTGGCCTCGCTCAGCTGTACTGTATGTGTATTACTCATTTAATACTTCACTTGCATGCTAAACTACGATTGCAGACATGGCAAACATAAGCCAAGAGCTGACGTTTTGAGATATGAGCTTCCTTTTACTATAATTCTTAACCTCTGCTCACATGACATCAACTTCTGCCACAAATGTAAAAAGGGAATTATCTTGATTTTAGTACTTAAAGATGTCTGTGTGTTTTTTTATTTCACTTGGTAATGACCCTTACTGTATATAAAGTGTCGACCCAGTGACAGATCAGTCTCCAAATATTCAGATGCTGTTTGTATTTGTTTGGCATAAATGATCTGTTCCTGTCCAAATAGTGTATGTCTATTAGTATAAAAAACTATTTTGAAATAATACAATCAATACAAATGTTTGAAAAACAAATCTCACTTGCAAGTTTTAAATGTACATTACCCTTCTTAAGGTTAGTTTGGCAAAGAGGTTCTAATGTGAGGTCTTATTGTCTGAGGAACATGAAAAGTGTCTCCTTAAATAAATCCAACATAAAGCTGAGGCTATCCATCTAATGACCAGAAATAACAAACATGTTTAAAAAGCAGGTTTGTCTGTGGAGTCCTCCCTTCAGAGGTTTGTTCAGGCCTAGCAGTGTAGACACCAACCCATAATCCTCCTGCAGACACACCTGTAGAGGAGAGTATAAAGTCCCTGGACTGAACTGAGTCAAACATCAAGCTTCAAGGAGTCTCTCCACAGCAGCTCCACAGCCTCCAGACCGACCCTGAAGATGACTCCCTCTGCCAGCCTGCTGCTGCTGCTCCTGCTCGGCCTCTCTCAGGCACTTCCTCTCCAGGAGGAAGGAATTGAAGAAGAAGAAGAAGAAGAAGAAGTAGACGAAGAGGACACTGTCGACATCACCACCAGAATTTTGACCTCCAACATCGCCACAGATGAGATCCTGCTGGAAGGAGACCTGGTGGTTCCCAAAACCAGAAACGCCATGAAGTGCTGGTCCCAGAGCTGCCTGTGGAAGAAAGGCTCCAACGGCTTGGTGACGGTCCCCTTCACCACGAGCAGTCAATTCACCAGCTTGGAGAGACAGAAGATCACCAACGCTATGAATGCCTTCCACAGCAAGACCTGCCTCCGCTTCGTCCCCCGTCGGAACCAGTACGACTACATCAGCATTGAGAACAAGGGCGGATGTTACTCCTCTCTGGGCAGAACAGGAGGCAGACAGGTGCTCTCTCTCAACAGGCGGGGCTGCGTCTACCATGGCACCATCCAGCACGAGATCAACCACGCTCTGGGCTTCAAGCACGAACAGACCAGGAGCGACCGCGACTCACACGTCAGGATCAACTGGCAGAACATCAACCCGCAGATGGCCTACAACTTCAAAAGGCACGACACCAACAACCTGAACACCCCCTATGACTACACCTCCATCATGCACTATGGAAAAACAGCCTTCTCCATCCAGCGGGGGAGGGACTCCATCACCCCCATCCCAAACCCCCAACGTCCAGATCGGCCAGAGGAGGGGGCTTGTCCCGCTTGGACATCGTGAGGATCAACAAGCTCTACCGTTGCTAATAACAATGCTGATGATAAATGCAAACAAATCGTACTTTTTCTGCTTTGTTTTTCCTGTAATTAATCAAAAAACACTGTGACGTATGGAAACAACATCAAATATTTCACTTTTCTTCAAATGTTCAAACGGCAGATTATATGACCGTCATATCCCTAAATGATCTGGAATAAAAGTAATGCAGAGATTACTGATTGCTGTCTAGTTATTTTCATCATTTGTGTCTTTTAAAAAAAATACACACATATGCACATGAATGCAATGCCGACATGGTGCATGTATTCATCTTATCATTTTCAGTTCACTGTAAAGTCACACAGGAATTGTGTATTTCTGTATTTTTGTATCAGTATTGGATCGTGAGGTCAAAGTTACAATTCTGCAATTAATGTCAAGCTTTATCTTGCACTAAAAAACTATTCTGATCAAAACTGACCAAAAATGAATTGAGGATGAACATCACTGACTGTTAGTCAGCCCCAAGTCCTGCCTCTCATGTATAACCATTATATTTTTACAACCCATTTATAACCATATTATTTGGGCCACAGAGCTCAGCATGAAACAATTTCAACAAAATGAAAGAACCCAGTGATCTTTTTACTTGCAACAAACATATCTTAAATGTTTCATCCAGATGGTTAAAAGAGTATTTCAGGTATCTTGAACGACTTCCAGAACCAACCAGGTATCACGGCAAGACGTGAACATGTGACGATCTACCATGCTGGGAGACGTGAATATGTCGCGGTTTCGTCCCTTCAAACGTGACAGTTACACGGTATTGTTAACATGGCCCAACCAGTGGAGAAATACCCGGAAGTGCCTAGCAAATGGTCTACCGCGCCTATTGGTCGTTTTTTATTGTCAAAATTAGATGTTTTTAATTTATTTTTTAATCGTCACACTCGATTTTGCCGATTTTCTTGTTGCCCTAGCTGGTCGACACCTCTTTTAGCAGAAACAAAGGCTACATTAATGTATTACATCGATGTTAATCCATGTGTGTGGAGGTGAGGATGTGGAATTAACGGACGTGACGTTGTGCGATTGCGTTGCCAGGCAACGCAATTTACAAACTCTTCAACTACAACCCTAATTATATTTAAAAACATTTTAAGCCTCACGAAATACTTTAATGTAAATTAAAATGTAAATGTGAAGGAATGTGTGTAATGTGGTGATTGACATTATTCACCCACGGATCTATGGGTTGGGGGTATTGTTCCGCAGCACGGACATCTTAGTTAACCGGACTCCTGTTGATGTGAAATCCGAAAACATTTAAAAAAAATAAAAAAATACTTTATTCCGAGTTTGCTTGCTTTTCTGTTTGGAGGTCATCACATAACGACATTGTAATACACGGTTTGGCTGCATTAAATATGACATATCTGCCGTAGTTCTGTATTTATAGAGCCCTGATGAGAAGACTTCTGGACAAACAGGAAGCACTGCCGCCAAAACTGAAAACGTGACGTGGATCATAAATATATCAGCAATTAAACCACATCTTACATTTATTTTCACACAATACGTCTCCTTGCAGTATCAATACTAATTCGGCTGACTTTTATATTTGATCCAATTGGTAGATAGGCTGTATTTACACCATAACGGTGCACAGCTGATAGAAAGGCACATCTAGTGGTTAAAGCACGTTATTGAATTTTATTATTTTTCACAAAAATGAAACCATCAATAGCAGAAACAGAATTAACTGTCATTAGTAAACCACCCAAAAAAAAAGATCATAAATGGTTTTGTTTTATATATATTTTAAGGATAATAATAGCAATGTAACACTGTCTATGACACTTACTGTATAACACTGATTTGAAAAACATACAGAAAAAACTAATTCACTGCCCTTAATAA